AATAATAATAATAATAATGCCAAGAAGAAGAGGCGGAGGAGAGTAATGGCGTGGAGGAAAGAGTTTGTTTGCTCCTGCCCACGTATTGGGGGGAGGGCACGACAAACCGAGGGCGAGGCGGCGGAGAACGCACTCGGCATCCCGCACACCCCCGTCCCTTGTCTCAACTCCAGCGTGGCGCATCATCATGTGTGAGGCTCGCGCGTGCCGTCAGCCAAGAAGCACGGTGGCGGCAAGAACAACAACAACCACAAGGGCGCCCAAGAAGACAACAAAAGAAGCAAAACAAACATTCAACAAACGCAACAAAGCAGTGAGTTGGTACTGGGCTGCGCAAGCGCCAGACATCGGTAACGGTAGTTGAAGCAAACAAGGAACTAGAGCAGCAAACCAAGCAAGATAGACACATACACACACTTTCGTATTAACACGAGCAGTACAGAAGCGAAACATATCCTTCTGCGCCGCTTTCACACACACACACACACTCTCTCTCTCTCTCTCTCTCTCTCTCTCTCCCCCTTTAGCATTTTCCCCCACTTCCGAATTCATCTTGGCTTGCGCCACGCACAACGCAGTGTCCATCAGAGCGCCAATGTGTACTCCTCCTCTGCGGTGACTTTCGTTTGTGCATCGGGAATGCCCCAGCGCAGGTCTTCCCAGTAATTCTGCTTCAGGGCCTGTTGGTACCACGCCACCGTCTGACGGTAGCCCTCCTCAAACGACACCTCCTGCTTCCATCCCAGTTCCTGCAACTTGTCGGTGTTGATGTCGTAACGCTCATCGTTAAAGTCACGATCCTTCACAAAGATGAGGTACGGCGCCAACTCTTCATCGGTGAGGCTGCGCCCCTCCCATTCTTGTTGGTCCTTCTGCTGTTGTGGCTGAACGTATTTGATGGTCATTCGTGCAATATCCATAACACTCTTCTCTTCGCGTGAGCCAATGTTGTACACCTCGCCAATACAGCCCGAGTTGATGATTGTGATAAATGCCCGCGCCACATCGCTTGTGTGGATAAACGTGCGCTTATTGCTGCCGTTGCCCTGTATCGTCAGCTTCTTCCCCGCATCCCTCAGCATGATAAAGCGCGGGATAAGTTTCTCCGGGTACTGAAACGGCCCATACACGTTATTACCGCGTGTGATGATGCAGGGCAGACCAAAGGAGATGTGGTACGACTTGACAATATACTCCACTGCTGCCTTTGTGGCGGCGTACGGATTTGTTGGGTTCAGCGTGCCTTCCTCCTTCTTGGAGTCCGTCACCTGCCCGTACACCTCGTCTGTGCTCACGTGAATGAACTTCTCAATCTTCCCGTACGTCCGCGCGCACTCGAGGAGGACGTGCGTGCCGAAAACGTTGTTGTGCGTGAAGGAGAGGCTGTTGCCGAAGCTGTTGTCAACGTGACTCTGCGCGGCGAAGTTGATGATGGTGTCGACGTCGAAATGGTGCAGCAGATGCATTACGAGATCCGCATTGGTGATGTTGCCTTTAATGAAGTGGTAGCACCGACTGCCCGACACCTCAATCGACTTGAAGCTGCTGCAGTAGTCCACCTTGTCGAGGTTGTACACGTGCACGTCAGGGTGGGCGCGCATAAAGTGGTTGATGAAGTTGCTGCCGATGAAGCCGAGGCCGCCCGTCACGAGCAGATGGCGCAGCGGCCGGTCGTCGCTCCGTCGCGTTCGTCGCTGCTCCGCGTCCTCTGGCCGACGGAACATCACCCTCAATGTATGTGAGTGTATGTGTGTGCTTCTATGTATGTATTTCCTTGCTATTGCTGCCTGCTGTTCCTTCGGCCACCCTCTATTGCCTTGTCGTGTGGGCAGTGGGGGAGGAGCATACCGTACACGCACACACAAATACAACAACAACAGCAACGGCACTTATTGCCACAAAGATGCCCCTCTGTCATCGCCAGAGTGAGGGATACGGCTACCATGAGGACAGCACCATATGGCCCACACAAGCACGCACATGGAGCTTTGTTGAGCCGGTGTTGCCACCGAGCAGCGCGACTGTCCATGCGCAGAAAGAAATGCATGGAGGGAGTCAAGGGACGGCGTGAAGCCACACCTCCGCGAATCGCAAAACAAACAACAAACAAACAAAAGAAATGAGGCGCGAGATGGGGGCACCCCACACAGCCGCACATACGCAAAGCACACAGACCGAGTGAAGCCACCCTTCAAAGGTCTGCTTCTCTACCAGCGACCCTTCACCATCGTCTCCCCCCGCCACCACCGCCGCTGCTATTACCGCCCTGTACCTGAGCATGCGGTTTCTCCAAAAGCAAGAAAAAAGACCCACGGCTGCGAGCGTGAATGCGCCGCGTCACCCGCAACAGTCGTCATGGCCAACGGCAATGAACCCACCCACAGCGTTAATGAACTCATGAGACTGGTCAACTGTGTCTTTTGGAGGTCTGCCGCAGCCATCTGCTGGCGCCGAGAGAGCACGGGCGAGGGCACCCGTGCAGCCAGCCTCCTGCGCCCCATTTGAAGGGCCCGGCGGCCGCGGATCTCCGCAGCGGCGATCACACGCGCAGACGATGCACGCGGGCATACGCACGCACACACCGCCCCGTGTGTGCCTGCTGCTAAGCCATGCTTCCCTGAGGAGCCATTGGGCAGATGTGCAACAGAAAACTTGGAGAAGGAGAGAGAGAGAGAGAGAGAGAGAGAGAAAGTGCGAAAAGTGGGAAGTGTCGCACCGCATACTGTCGGCGGGGACCAGCACATCGAGCTGAAGCCAAAACGCATCCTCCTTTTTTTTTTAGGCCGTCCAAGTCGACAAACAAGAAACAAGAAACAACGTGGATTGAGAGCACACGCTCCGCGCCTGCACCGCGCTTACTTGCTGCCGGCGTTCGTCTTGGCGTGCGAGCGCGCCGTGACGGTGATCTTCTTCACGGATGGGTGGATGGAGCGCTCAATCTTGTCCGCCTTCTTCTTGTCGGCAATGACAAGGGTGTAGAGGTAGCGGCTGCAGCGCACCTTGAACTTCGTCACCTTGGGGTTGCGCTTCACCTTCACGCAACGCGCATCCTTGCGGGAGCAGATGGCGAGGAACTCCTTCAGGTTCTTGATTTCGCGGGGCATCTCGCACTCTCTCTGAATGTAAATGTGTGTGTGTGTGTGTGTGTGGGATAATAGGAGGCAGGAATAAGACGTAGGGGAGGCAGAGCGTAGAACACAGCCAAAGCAGGCGCGCGAATGATGCGCCACCAGGCAGGAAGAAACAACAACGACAACACCAGCAGCAATGCTTTCAGTAGAGGGATGTGAAATAAATACACTGAGAGGGTTAGGAATAGTCGTGCGACTTCATTATGCCTCTTTTTTTGTTTTTAATTTGTTTTTTTTTCTGTACCACTTCTTCTTTTTAGTCTATTTCTTTTTTTGATTGCTTTCATTAAATAAGAAGCAGTGTTACCACGGCGAGTGGGCCTGATACTTGAGCCCCTCCAAGAAGGAGGAACGAGCAAAGCCGTTGTGCCAGCGCCCACCACGGACAGC